ATACATACATTACATACAAACATACACCCATGGATACATACATACATAGATTACATTGGGCAAGTTACGTTACTTTACATTACAATACATTACATTACACATCACATCACATCACATACATACTTACAATAATTACATTACATTGCATTACATCATGTACATTACACACATCCATCCATCCATCCATCCTTCCATACCATACCATATCATTATTTTATATTACTTTCATACATACATACAGACAGACAGACACAGACAGACAGACAGACAAACAGACACACATACTTCGATAGGTTTTATCCAGTGAGATATTCCACAGGGAAAAGAATGGCCGAGCCGCAAGGTGGAGAGTCCGATCACTTGAAGATGTTTTAACATGTTTTAACAAAAAGGTTTCAATCTGCTGCAACGCGGCGGCGAAGCGCCGGAAAGTGTGTTTGGGGGAGTAGCATCCAAAAACCATGGAAAAAATGACCGCGGAAGGGTGGACCAGTGGAGTCAGTGTGTTCAGGCACATGCAGGTACATCGGTGGCGTTCCCACCGACATCAGTGTTCAATGCAAGCCTCTTCGTTGGGCTGGTACTTGCAATGAACAACCAGCCCCCCTGCTTGCAAAAACCCTTCGGGTACAGAGTGGGACACACGCAAGTCGCCGCTTGGCGGCGCGCTCAGGCAGAAGTTTAAGAAGGTAACAACGTATACAGCTTGAAGATTACGTAGGTTCTACATCAAGTGACTACTTAGCACTTGACTTGACTACTTAGCCTTTAACTAAAAGAAAAAACTCATTACATACCTGAAAAGCCTCTAGGGGCAAAGCAGACCTAGAAAGAGAAACGAACAGGCAAGAGAGAAAGAACCAAAAAACTGAGGGGCAGGGAAACGAGCCTCAAGAACCACTTGGCAAGCCTGAAAGAACACCTAACAAACGAAGAAAGCGCAAGAGAGAAAGCATGTGTGTGGGTGTACGTGTGTGTGTGCCCCTTGTAATCACAGGGATCCCGTTGGCTTGTTTTTCTTCTTTTGAGCAGGGGGCAGTAGCCCATTCATGAGTCTACTGCCAACGAAGCTGCTCATGAGTTGGGAGGATATCGGAGCTGATCACTCCGACGTACCTGCTTCATTGTGGTCTTAAAAAGCTTTCACTCCAATCTTCTGGTAAAGGGCTAGTGAGTTCGGCAGATGTGCACGGACCTACTGGTACTCTTAGGAAATGGAACCCTAGGCTGGCGTGTGGCACCGCTGTCAAGTCAGTACGCATATCCATAAGTGTGTTTGGCTTCGTGCCAACCCGGATGAGCGCGTAGAGTGGTTTGCGTGGACCCGAACGGTGGTTTGTCGTTATCTCCCCTGCCCGGAGATGTAAGTGTCCGGAGATGGCTTACGCCACAAGAAGTGGGATGTTTGTCTCAGTTTTGGAATTCCAAGTTGGCTCGTGCCTGTACGTGACCGCAGCGGTCCAAGCAGCCAGCCATTTCGGCAGGGCACAAGGTGACCACAGCGGTCAAAGCAAGTTTAAGGTTCATTGGAACCTGTCACGACCTTGGGTGCACATACAGCGTGTACATTCAAACGAGGCAGGTTTTCCTAGGTCGTTGTAATGAGGTTTGGCTTCATCGGTTTCGGTCCCCTCCATTTGGTTCCCCTTTTCATCCTTTCCCCTTTACACACTTCTTTTCTCTTCTTTTCATGTCTTCCCTTGCTTCATGTCCTGTCATCTCATCTCTTTCCTTCTTTTGCGTGCACACTGCCCGGCCCTTAGTTTGCACATGCACAACCTACTTTCAAATCAGGTTTCAGGTCGCCCAGGTTTTTACAATGAGGTGGGTTGTCATCGGTTGTTCCTGTGCACTTGGTTCCTTTTCATTGCAACCACATACATTCTTGTCCCGTCTTGTCCCCTTCATGTCTTCATTCTTTTGTCTTACTGCGCGCACACTCACACTTTTGCCCTGACCTTAGTGCTTCTCGCCTCCCCTCGGGGAGGCATGTGTGTGTGCCCCTTGTAATCACAGGGATCCCGTTGGATTGTTTTTCTTCTTTTGAGCAGGGGGCAGTAGCCCATTCATGAGTCTACTGCCAACGAAGCTGCTCATGAGTTGGGAGGATATCGGAGCTGATCACTCCGACGTACCTGCTTGGTTGTGGTGTTGACAAGCTTTCACTCTTGTCGCTCCGCCTTCGTCGATTCGATGCTTGCGCTTTTGGCCTCACTTCCTCTTCCAGACCCCTAGGCTCCGATGGTCCTTACTGGTTCTTAGGAAATGGAACCCTAGGCTGGCGTGTGGCACCGCTGTCAAGTCAGTACGCATATTAAGTGTGTAAACCGCGAGCCTGGCTGCATCAATTCCGTGGGCCCAGCGGCATCAGTTCCGTATCCGTGCAAGGCCGATGAGTCAGTGAGACAATCCCGGCTGCTAGACCGATGAACCAGTGATTCAAAATCCACATGGTTTCGGCGCCCCCTTGCGGGGGATCACACTACGCACCCAAGTGGGAAAGCACTTCGACACACACTTCGATATTTTTATCCAAAGGATAGCCCACAGGGAAAGGAATGGCCGAACCGCAAGGTGGAAGAATCCGATCACTTGAAGATGTTGTATCAAAAGGTTTCAATCTGCTGCAACGCGGCGGCGAAGCTGCTGGAAAGTGGGTTTGCGAGAGTAGCATGCAAAAAACCATGGAAACAAAAAGACAGCGGCAGGGTGGACCAGTGGAGTCAGTGTGTTCAGGTACATGCAGGTACATCGGTGGCGTCCCCACCAACATCAGTGTTCAATGCAAGCCTCTTCGTTGGGCTGGTACTTGCAATGAACAACCAGCCCCGCTGCTTGAAACAAAACTTAAAGTGGAGTCGAAACCCTTAGGTACAGGGTGGGACACACACACACACACATCGATGTACATCGATATGTTGATCAATCAAACTAGGTGGTCATTTCCCTGTTCCAACTCTTGTGGTTCAACCAATGGTGCCCAGCGGTCTGCTCGTCTCGCGCGCACCCTGGTCTGTGCGAACCCCAGGTAGTGCCCGCCTAACCACTCACCTGTGTAGGTGGAGCCATTGGCAAAAGTATGGGCTGGTCGCACCTGGAAACGCCAAATATAGAGAATCACAGCGAAGTAAATACATTAGGTGTGGACACATGTATGCATGCACTAGCCATGCAATCATTGTCTCACAGCAGGAGAGGTAGCAATAGACCGCTCACTTGGTAGCAAGCCACGCTTGCTTGAAGAATAGAGCTGACAGGCTGACATTAAAGCCTTTCAAGAATCGAACACATGTGGATTTGCAAGTGCCCAATCCGATCCAAACAAAGACTCTCCCGCTGCATCTATGAAACCAAATCTGCAAAACCACCAAGATCAGGGAAAATTAATCAATCAAACATATTCATCCATATTCATCCCGCATCCCAAACCGGTGCTCAAGGTCTGGAAACACCATGCCCACATCATGCGCAAAGCCCACCGAAGCCAAGTCTGACCTCAGGTCATACCAACCGAACTTCCCAGGGGCTCCCTGCCTCCGCCCTCTCTTTGCCTTAGTGGTCGCCAGTCCAAGAAACTCAACAGAAGTGACGCCTGTAGAGACGTTTACCTCACCTTCACGTGCTTGGCTTCAAAATGCAAAGGCACAAGACGCAAAAGAAAAAGCGAGAGAGAGAGAGAGGGAGAGAGATAGAGAGATGGGCCTGAACACATCTGTAACATATAGTGGCTCATATAATGCGCCATAATGCACCCCACACCCCTCCAATTGCCTGCTTTGTGTTCGTCAACCCCCCACACCCACCCCAAAAAGAAAAAACACCCTTGGCCGTCAGTCACGTCTTTCTGCGGCGCGGTTCGCTGCTGTCCCAGCGGCTCGCACAGGTGTCACCGTCGCAGAAGGTGGGCAATTGATAGCAGTGAGGGATGAACTCCTGGACCCCATGAGTGGAGGGACTTGGTGGGAGTTCCATTGTGACTTCCGTTGTTCTGGTCGCCTCTCTCACAGGTCGAGTGAAGCCGACGCCCCAAAAAAATGATGGGGCCGTCGTCCGGAAAGGTGAAAGCCAATTGAAAGTTTGAGGGTTGACCTGGGTCAGGTATTCAATGAGGAGAACTGAAGTACACATTCCCCAAAGGAACATGAGATGTTGAACATGGAGTGACCGGTGACTAGCCTGGACTCGTCCCACCATCAGACCGCCCGAAGTCCAGTCCGCAATCAGTGGTCATGAATGTTTCACAAGCCGTTCGACAAAATCTACCAGGAGCTGTTTGGTGGGGCACCCGATTTGGGGAGCACCGATTTTGGGCACAATTGTATTCCTCACATACTTCCTCACATGGGCGTGAGCCATCTACTTGCTCAATGAAAGATCATTTGGGGCATTCCAGGGCGATGCTCACAAGCGTCAACCAGCTGGGGCAGCTAGGGCTAGGTTACAAAACAGCAACGCCGACACTGTGAGACTGGAATATGTCTATCATCGAGTGCCAGAAACAATCATGGAAGTGAACATAGGCCCACTGAAAGACCATGTTCCAGGGGATTGCCCACTTCCGTGCTTGTTGCGGGGAGGGCGCTTTTCCCCTGAAGAACGTTTAAATGGTCCGGACCAGTTGCCGACACCCGAGGCCGATCCGCTCCCCACACCACGCATCACTGGAATCCTCTCCTGTCCCGTGTCAACAGGAGAAGCACAACCTTGGCGAGTAAAATCATGAAAAATCGCACACGGAAAATCCTACAGGAAAACAACACCGGCACAAGAAAGTATTCACACACTGACATGGTTCTTTCATTGTTCTTTCTGCATCTTTGTGCCACATCTTGCACCAAATTTGGCGCAGCAGCACGTTTCGTTTACAATGTTTACATGCCAAGCCACAGTGGGAGAACATCGGATTCCCGCTGCTGCCAGCTACGTCAGCATGGCGCGGGGGACTCTCGGGTTTGCCACCCTGCTTGCCCCCAGATGTACTTGTGCTTGGCATCTCCTAGAGTAAACTTGGCGGGACACCCAGTTGTTAGTTGGGCACAGAGTTTTGTGCAACCTGTCAGGGCGGTAAGTCTGCTTCGATGCCGAAAAAGCTATGAATGGGCCATGGGAATCATAGCAAGTCACATGCATCTGCCCAGCCGTTGGCCGACCTAGTCACATGCATGCGGCCCAACCCCTTGAGGGATGAATGCCTGCGCTGCATGGACTTGCTGGTCTTCGGATCAGGCCACCTGATGCATGACCCGCATGTTCTTCAACCGCTAAGAATATCGGAACTTCTTGCACTTCAATTCACAGGGTTCCATGTCTTCATTTCAAGGACTGCTATTGCGCATGCTGTCGGCCACATGCTGTGTCAACAGTTCTGAGAGGCCAATGAACCAAGACTCCTGGCGCGAAACCTTTCCGGTCGCTGGACCCAACCGCTCAACCCTGCACGAGGAGTTCCCTCGCGGTCCGGCGTCTGAAGGCCAAGAGCAGCGCCGTGGTTCTCGCTTATGTACATGAGAGCGACGTGCACAGGGGCAAGCCTTGCAGGTTCTTGGGGGGTTGGTGGTTTCACTCACTTGAAGAATATTAGTCAGTGGGTTCAATCATGCCAAGTAAAAGGTTGAAAGTTGAAAACAAAGATATCTGAAATCACCACCCAGCTTTGGCTTTCAGTATTGGGACAGATTGACAACCTTCACATACCTTCACTGACCTTCATCTTCCAACACTCACCAAGCCGTCAAAGCCCGTACGACCTAATTACGCTTCAGAAATGGGTCCCTTCTGCGAAAGGACATTTGGCCTTTCACCGGATAGAAACTCGATCTGCAATCATTAAATGTTCATTGGTCGCCATTGCCTTTGATGAAGGTTGTTTCGACCTGCATGCCACTATCCGAAAGACTTCGCCCAAAGTGCCCAATTGACGGACCTTCATATCCTTTGTTCAGAAATCTCAATCGAATTGCCCTCCCCCTAGGTTCACCGGCATCGGTTGTCCATGGTCATAGTCTACGCCAGAGCATTCCGACTATCTGGCTCTGGTCCCGTTTATTTTTTAAAAAAGGGAATCAACAAGTTGGTGCACTGAACACACTCCAGGACAGGTTGAAGAATCCCAGCCATGACCAGCCCATAGGTACCCCCCATCTACGGGTCCTAGTTCAGGTCACTTAACCTCTCTTGGCTCTTGGTGAGATGTCGTTCGAACACTCCAAGGATGGCTTCCCTCTTCTGGTCGCCCGGGAGGGCGACCTCGTCGCCCTGGAGGGTGAGACGGCGGCATGGTTGGTCAAGCAAAGCCCTGGAACCCGAAGAACGCGAAGCGCTCTGGGAGCTCTTGGCGTTCTGGGAGCTGTTGCTGGGAAATCTTTGTTCCTGGAGGTGTTGGGCAAGATGTTTGAGATTTCAAGTGGGGTTCCTGGATACTCCTTTTCCCATTTTTGAGGTCAGGACTTTTCTGTCCGGGGGGTCGAATCGCAGAAATGGAAGATGACCAGCACGCCGAGTCCAATCACTCAGAAGGCGCCAGACTTCCTGGGCCGTGCCGTGTACTTCGTGTCCTTTCTGACCTCGGTCGGCCCACGCGAAGCCAGGGATCACCTCACCCATCCTCACCCCATCCATTTGGTGCTTCACACAAATAAAGACCCTGAACATAGGACTCTAGTAAGGGCATTGCTAGTAACAAGACAAAAGGCTACTAGGTGGAGCCCTTGCTATTAGGTTGGAGAATGTTGGAGGCCATCGCTACTAGGAACAAGAAGCTACTAGGTGGAGGCCATCGCTACTAGTAGCCAAGGGTTTACTCAGAAGCTTCTGATTACTCATTCGGAATCCCAAACGACCCGTGGCCGACCCGTAGCGGCCCGACCCTCCGGACCCTCCGGACCAGCCACGCCGAAACCCTTCTTTCTTTGATGTTCCTTCTTCTTCAAGACCTGACCACAGTCATCGGCGGGAGATGCCTGGTCTGGTAGACTTGAAAGAGGTCTTGCAGATGGAGACGACGGCCAGAGTCTGGTGGTCTGTTCTCTCGTTGGCTGTCTGTTCTCTTGGAATGGTGTTGCTGACATGGACAACCATCGCGCACGCAAAATATGTTTCTTGCACGTGCTAGTTCGAACAGGCCAAATGGCCAGATCACATTGAAGTTTTTTGGAAGCACACGAGGCCTTCAGAAGGCATGCAACCTTTTCAACAGTTTGTCACTCTATGCTCGACACTTGCAGGCAACAACAATCATGAGGGTCCAACAACCTCCACGCGCACTACCCGCGCCACTTAGTGTCTCAATTTTCGGGCTCCCTCAGTGGTGGGGGTATTGTGGGCGCTGTTTGGAAACTCCCGCCAGCTCATACAACGATACAACCAGTCAAGAGATGTCTCCAAGTTGGCCTTGTCCTTGTAGGAGGCCTGTGCTTTGCCCTTCTTTCTCTTCACTTCCCGTTCGCGGCTGTGAACCGCCACCTGATATGGTTCAGCATTCGGAGAGCTTCTGAAGAGCTGAGAAGTCGATATATTTCACAAGCCCGTGGTTTCCCACCCTCCCCTCCTGTTCGTCGTCCTCCTCCATGGGCTCTGGCATGCTTGCAGGTTGCTCTCCGGACAGACCTGCCTCGGAGAAGCAGGTGGAGAGACGTTTAAGTCGGAGTCGCGGGACGACGCACGCATGACGCACCCAAGTCGTGTGGCCAATCCCTGTTTCATCACTAGATTGATTCCATAGTGCCATGGTGATCCCTGTGATTGAAGGACAATGTCCAACCAAGATTTGGCACCTCATCTTTTCAAGAAAAAACGACATTCACAAGAAGAAGTGTGAAAGGCAACGCACCCTCGGACGAGACTCCAAAACACTGCCACGCATTGCCACACATGCAACTACGAGATACTACATAGGTTTTGAGGTGATCCAAGTAACTTAAGAACCCTTTCTTGCAAGCGGCTCGGAATGCAAGGATCTCCTTAAACCCTGGGAAAGCCAGCAAAATTGACACAACTCTGCAGCAAATCAAGCCGCTCGAAGCTATCGCGCTATGTCGCGCTCGAAAGAACCAAAGTGGTCGGGGGTTTATTCCATCAACAGCAACAAAGCATGAGGATTCTGACCTGTTTATCATGTTTTTGGATGCTTATGTTTTTGCATTCTCAGTTCCAATCTGAGGATCCCCCAACCTTGTTCCCGGCAACTTCTTCGCGGCATCTTTCCGAGACACATAGATCACCAGGAAGTGCTTCTTCGCTTTGGCGGAGTGGGGGTAATCCTACAGGCCCACAGGAAAATCCCGATGAAAAAGGATAATGTGGCAGAATGAATGCTGGAGAAAACAGGACAAAAACCTGGAATTCACTTGGCCTTTGGTCGATTTGGTTGGGGGGAATGGCTCTGTCAATTTCCACAAATCAGTCCGGCCAAAATGTTTGAGCCAGAAAGCCTGACCAGGAGAGGCTCCTCCAAGCATCCAAATCCTACAGACTCCCCATCCCTCCTTGAAACTAACAGAGCACCCCGCTGGTGCAAAGTCGTGTTTTTCTTGATACCGATATAAATATATATATATACCGTATAGGGACTACAGTAGGTCGGGTTTAGAGAATCCTTCTTTAAGTACGTTTGGCACTTCCTAAGGTCCCCGAGCCTTTGGTTTGGATGTCGTTGGTCTAGCCAGTCTCCGGTCTCCCGTGGTCGACATGAATGATCTCCCTGCGCTAAGAGGCGACCACCAGGCCACCACCAAAGCCGCAGCGCAGGGCGGCCGCGGTGATCATTTCCACCTGCCGGAGCTGGTGCCAACAAGGAAGTGTCCAACAAGTGTTTTCGATGGTGTCTTGTTAGGATCGGTTTTTAGTTTGTGGCCACTCTGCTATGCTGAGTGCTGCTCCATCTCGGACTCGAACCGTCCAAACCACCTTGCCTAGGCCAAGACGAATCATGCCCCGGTAGGTCGAGGTTCACACACAAGCTGAATCGACTCCGATGGATTTGCGGACCCAATCCATGCGGATCCATGACGTCCCGTGGGGTCATGACGTGTCAATTCGGTGCCTGTGCTGCAGTCTCTGGGTAGAACTGCAAGGCCGCACGTGCCCCTTTGCGCAGGCAGCCTGGACGGAGCTGGATTGCGCCCATCACGGGCCCCTCAAAAGGCTTTGCTTAGACGAATTGGAATCATCCCACTCCTGGATTCTTTGGGTGGACGCCCGAGAAATCGAGCGGAACCGCAAGGCTGGCATATGTAAATCCATGATGCGATAAAGAACAACTCACATTACGGCTTTACACACGGTATATACCCATGGCCATAGGCCGTCATCTCATCTACAAAATGCTTGGGTGCACTCTGATGAGAATGAGCCCCTTACTCTTTATTGCCAATTGTGTATATCTAATGTTAAAACCATATTGCCCAGGGGAGTCATATTTATCAAACCATTTTTTAAAAAATACAGATCAAATTTGATTTAGTATTCGACCAAACAGTGACCATAATTAGCCACACTGACCATTGGAGAACCATAATTATAAAACCGACTCGCCAAAAAAATATAAATCCATACAGATTCTAGTACTACTGCTCCTACTACTACTACTACTACTACTACTCCTCCTGCTCCTACTGCTACTACCACTACCACTACCAGTCTTACAATTACAACCCCCCAAAAAATAACATTGCGAGGGGGGGCCCTTATTAATACGGTTCTGAGATTGTTGTATGCATCCACTTCGAGATACTTGGTGCCCAGTGTAGTTCTCTTGGTCAGCGACAATCACATAGAAGTGTAAATAAAAGTTATGACAAAACACCCAAGTCCTCACGATCTCAGCCCCCGGTGTGCCCATCAAACAGGATGATATACAATGATATTTATATATATACATAGGGAAACATCTTGTATGGATAGGCCGTGTTCGCTCCAGAGCCATAGACCTCGCAACCGAACACAGTAAGGGAAACCTGCCCATCAGCTTATCTACTGCTCAAGCCATGCGCATTCCTGAACCTCGCTAACGGTCAAACGCTGAAAAAACCGTCGGGGAGCTATACAGCAGCTCGAAGAATCTCCGCAAACGCTTGAAAGGCTCATGGCCCTTTTTGTCCTCGGTTGGCTCAGGCTCACGAAATGGTGAAAACCAGGATTCAGTGCTCAGGAGTATCAGGCCGTGTCGTGAATCTGCGCGTGGCTGTTTTCTTTTCAACCCACAGCAGTGATGAAGCTGTGTCCACCTTGCCGCAACTTCCAAAACAAACGGCTTGGAAATTGTTGCTATTGGTTGCATATCATGTCTCGCCCACCTGCCCCATCACATATTCATATTACGCATGAAACGCCGGGGGCAGGCCCACTCGGACGACCAAAGCCATCCGTGAAGACGAGCTTCAACATTGCAAAGCCACTGCAGAGCAGAGATGGAGACGGCGCCGTCAAAGGTGCCGGGTCGGAAGTTCAGGCCCTGCCCTGGCGGGTCGAGAGTGGAGTTCTTGTCCGTGTTGCTAGTTGACCAAAAGACCAACCTCGTTTTGGATGGCGCCCTAGTTCTGAACCCCAGATCACATGTTGCACCCCAAACATGGCCCCCCATTTCTCAGCTTGTCGGATGGGGGCGGGATGAGCCGGATGGAGCCAGGATGAGCTGGCGCCTGTGCTCACCTCCAAACATAGAGAATGTCTAACGGATTTTCTTAATTTCTGAGAGATCCAACTGCACACTGAGACCTCATGGACCTATATAATTCCAAGCCACTATCAATTAGAAGATATTTGACAAATCTTTCGAAATATGCTTCCAGGAATTTGCCAGGAAAGGTTCAACCAGAAGGATATGGGCGTGTATTAAAATGGGGAGCAAAGACTCCCTGAAAGAAGGGAACAGACCAAAACCCATTGTTTGGGGTCCCACTAATTAAAACATATACCCATATGACCATCATCCAGAGGGTTCTGAGGCATTCACCATGCTACCAGCATTTTGCGTGGCATGTCACCATGGAAAGTAAAATCTTGGAATACAGCGTACGTCCGGGCTAGCCGGAGAGAAATGTCTGATTTCTGCAAAGTTCTTGATTATATAGTTTTATAGGAGGACCTTTTGCATGTGGCACCATTATTTGACTTATGTTGGGTGTTCTGGTGAATGTCTTTTTGCCTGGTGCCTGCCACATGAAAGCCTGCCAATTTGGATCCAGAATCAAACAAAATAATGAGTTAGTTGATGTATTTCCTCTACTTGATATGCGCAGTTGTCTGTGAAATCTGTAATGTTCCAAACTTTTGTCCAACATGCTTTGTGTTACAGTGATGCTGTATTAATCAGTATTGGCCCGACCCTGCACCAAGCAAATGAGGTATTTCCAGAGCTCTTGCTTTACTCAAGTTGTTGGTCTAGTTTGGTCCCTGGAATTGCTTGATAATTTCCTTGAAATTTTGTTTGGGCACCCTTCCAGATTCATTTCAATTGGACAAATATGGATACCCCATGGATACCCCGCAATCTGCCTGAATTTCTTCTAATTATCAAAGAGGTTCCAACAATACCCCTCTTCAGAGTTGCTGGAGGCTACGCAAGACTAGGTGGACTGGTCCTAGATTTTCCGGCTACATCACTACATCGTCGATGTGCTTGTAACAGTCCAGTGACCAAGATGAAAACCCAAGAGAAGAGGTTCATGTTCTTAACCCGCAGAGGAGCAGAACATAGCCGATGTTGCGTGTCGACACCCAGTGTACACTGTATACACTTGAGCACGCCTGCATCTGCCAAAAAGAGATCTCCGTCCACCTGGCGCAAAGCAATACATGTAACATAACTGGATGACTCATGAAGTCTTGTATTCTTAAACGAGTTGAAGCCCCTACCAATCCTAATCCCTCCCAACAGAACCATAACCCCTACCAACTGGTTACCATTATTGACCCACCATTGTTCCCCTGTCCAGTTCTGGGTGACAGTGCCCCAAGATTTGCTTTTTCACACGTGTTTTTTTCTGTCGCCTCGCGGCTCCGGGCGATGCGGAGCATCGACGGAGAGATGTCATAGCCGACCCAGAGATGTCCAGCTTCGCCTCAGTCGAAGTCAACATGAGCGGCTTAGGTTGGAATGGGTTGAGGAGACCTCACAGGTTGACTTGATTTGCTCGCTTTGGCCATGGTCCAAGGAGTACCCAGCTGATTTCATTTCCAGTCCATGTCTTGGTCTTCGTTGGTCGGACCGGTCCACGCTTGTCTTCGCAGGTGCCGGTCCTCCCCGACCGCCCAGGTCCCGCTGGTCATTCGAAGGCACTGAGGGTCTCTCCACCTCGGTCAAACTGGAGAGCGGCGCGGCCGACGGCGGGGCGGAACGTGGGCGCCAGGAGTTGGGGTATGTTGGGGTCACAAGTTAGGCAGCAAGTTGGTGAACTGTTGGCAGTCCAAGATTGTGTGGTTGTGGCTTGCTGGGCGTTTGACTGCTTTTTTTGGTGGAAGGCGGGTAGCAAATAATTAGTTAGTTACAACAAAGTGATCAGAATGCAAAGCAAACTGTTGTGGATTGTGGGGAGGTGTGGGGACACCTCCACCGTTTCGTTTGTCAGAATAGGAGCCCTGTTGTAGACGAATTCGGCCAATTGGGCGAACCCGAACGAAGCCACCACAGCCATCCCAATTGTGGTCCAGTGACTAATACCGGAGCCACAACCGACGTCCAGTAAAAGGCAGGGCCGGTCTGGGAGCAGCAACAGCTCCAGGGCACGTTCCGTCATCCTTGGTGTGACACCCCTTTGAAGGACCTTGGCGTTTCTATGTGCTTATGGACGTACATTTGTTAGGCCAACCCCACAAACAAATCCTTGCAAAACAAGTGAGAGATCGCTTTGAATCCGTGGTGTGAGTGGCAATTCCAATGTAACAATTGCAACATATCGCATATATATATATTATCACATCGTGCAAACGCCGCACCCGTTGGTTGGCAAACTTCATAGTAGCCCACAACAAAACGCCCCTCTCCCAGAGATGGCGCAGGGGCATGCTACGTGAGCTATCGGATTCAATTGCAAGTGTGGCATGAACCACAGTGAGTGAGAGCCTGCAACGACCACAGTGCTCTCTAGTGCTGTTCTGCGACGACGACCTCCGGGCAGGTCGGTTCCAGGTGGAGACCCCAACCGGCCCGGTTACGGCTGCACGATGTGATGATTGGATTCTTCCACGGCTGCGCGATGGCCGTACCAAGCATCTTGGTCTGGATCTCGATCATTCGGCTGCTGGTGGCATACCTTTCGGACCTGAGTGTGGCATCGATAATATGAGATTATCATCGCATAGCGTTCCAGGTGTTTGACTTACTCGTGCTTGATGTTGAAAGCTGAGATGGGTATGGCCATTGATGGTGCAAGGACCATTGTGCAGACGAACATGCACCCTGAAAATGGACCCCTTTAAGACTATTCTCATCCACCACCAAGTGGTTTCAGGGTCCATGTTAATCTGCGCATATCTGCGCGATGGTACATCTGAGGTCTCAACTCCTCATCGTTGTAAAAAATCTCCGGAGGAGCCTGGAAAGCGCGGTGGGAGATGGGCGCGCGAACAATTGCGCGATACATGGTGGTTGCCCACCCCGAGCTCCATCATGTTGCCCACCCCGAGCTCCCTGAGAGACAGAGACCGTCGGGGATGATGGTATGGACTTCCAAAACTAGGATGGTCTACGTGCTCGTGGGGTGCTCGTGGTGTGCCAGGGTGTGCCCGGCAAGCTGTCGCACCACCTGGACCCGTTCGATCCAACCGGGCCACGTGAAATGTGGAGAAGAACCTCGACAAATGAATCGCTGATGACGCTGATCTGTCTACACAAGAAAAGTCAAGGACTTCAAACAACACTAAGCAACCCAGTCATCCCGCTCTGCGTTCCAACACAGCTCCGCCTGATGCTCGGGCCTGCTCATGATGCCACAGCGCGCGTTTTGACTGCAGGAAACAGCTGCGGCGAGCTCAGCGTTGGTCCTATTGGCTGCTGATTGAGGGATATGTTACGAAGCACGGCTGTTTGATACTCCATTCTCATTCGCAATCGTTCTGTTTGTTTTTCATCACCCATTGGCCACGGCGGCAGTTGGAGCTGCACACTTTGTTGGTAGCACAGCTCGCAACACAGCTGGGCTAGTATACATGTGGTGGTTGCTTGCAGTTTGTATGTAGACACCAGCTCACACACTCGGGTCTTCCTCAACGTGGACCGGGCTTAAGGACCAACCAGGCAGTGCAGGCGGTGGAGAGAAAAAAACATATGTTCAATCTTTTCGGTGCCCGACTTGGCATCATGTAGACCACAGATTGATCAACCCCCGCCTTCCCCAGACATGAGTTGTAAGGCCTCTTCATATGCGGTTTCTTCATGTTTCTTCCTTCAAGCGTCACCACTCTCATCTCCCCTCTTTCCCTTCCGGCCTCCACGTGCAGGAGCACCACATGGGAGCTCAGAACAAATCCGCGCCTCCGCTAGACGCGAAGACGGCGGTCGGCGGAGAGCACGTGGAACGTGCGGACGATGTTTCGGTTGGAACCAAGAACTGCGTACTGCTCAGCCGCTAGACACAGTCATAAGCTATAGTGTCTATAGACTTGTCTATAGGTAGATGAGCCACTCAAGTCACCAGATCCTCTGTTCGTTTCCGTCCAAGCGGCGGCAGCTGACGCTGCGACTCGCTCACGGCCTCGCGGACGCTAACTAAGAAGGGTTTCGGGGGGGTTGGGGTGGGGACAATAACTAGGTGTAACGGTGTAACCCTTGGAGAAAACACGATCTATGTCTTGATTTCATATCTATATATATATATATGTTGTATATATATATATATATATGTGTGTGTGTGATACATACATAAATATATATATATATAACACATATATATATATATATGTGTGTATATATATATAACATGCACTACTAACTTAAATATAAGGTAGGATAGTACAACGCAACGGAATATGGCATCACACAACGTAACATCAATATATAATGTAATGCGCACTCAGGATTAAGTAGCCTCCCCTTATTAATCAAGCCCAGCTGGAGCCTCCAATACTAAACTAACTGAATTTCCACTTTGACATCCCCCTACTTTTGTTCCTTGGCCAAAAACCTCCCCATATTAGTTGTATCATTATTTTTGTTGGGCAGTATCCAATATCTGTTGGTCCATGGTGAAAACTCATCTTCCATCACAGAATCCCATCAACCATCATCCATTATCAGGTCCAGTCATCATCTTATCATCCATCATCAGGTCATCACCTTTATTAAGGGGATGTGGTCTCCAATTCCCTCCAATCTCAAACGTTGTTGGCCTTGAAGGGGGGGTTGATTAAGCCGGTGTTGGCATTAATATGTTAATAAATACAATTGATACTGATATTTGTATTATTTGTATAAATGCGTGGGCGGGCACATGCATGAGGTGAGCGGATGATTCATCTGAGACCACGTTTCTCAAAACCTGCCCTCGGGCCCTCGGAGTAGCAAGTGATGAGAACACATTGCTGGTGCCATTGCAAAGGGAAGCACACCTAGAGGTATTTCTGATCGAAACGCTCATACACTCCCCGAAATAGTATATGATGTAGTATATGAAATATATTCTGAAATATTATGAAAGAATCACGGAAGTGGAACAAACTCCCGTCGACGGGTCGGTTGAGCCGCGGAGACCGGACTCCGACTGGGTCACCCTCGCACTCTTCAGCTCGCCGCGATAAAAGCGCCAGGAAGAGAAGGACCTCGGCAGGATGCAGCGGTGCAGCCGATACTGACAGCCTTTCATGAACTCATGGAATGAATTGCCCAGTCGCATACCAGTGGTACCATCTGGCAAGGTGACCCTGCATAGGCAAACGCGGCTAGAGTTCCACTCGTTGTCACAGGGTGACCCCTCTTTGACCAGATGCGCAGATAGGTAGCAGCAACAGTGGCTTTTCCTCGTCACTCCAGCTGATTCATCATCCCTCCAGTGGCATCAGGTCAGCTGACTCGGAAGCACGATTTGAATGGAGGGCGGTCTAAAAGGAAACAACCAACCCGGTGATCCGCTACTTCTTTAAGTCCTTTCAGTTTGCCTCTTGCCTCATGGAAACAACATTTTTCTCATTGCAAAGCTGCAAATTCCCTAGTGTAACCTCTGATCAGGTCAGCCATCTGCAGTGCGCTGATCCCTTTGGGGCAGGTCACGCGATCTGCGGGTGCATGCGGTATTGCTCGCTGAGGAACTGCACCTGACGGCGAACAGTTCCAAGAGCTCACAAAACTTTCAGCAAGGGCAGGGTTCAGAATTTCATTGGTCCGTCTCGGCCTAAGTTGCACTTCAGCCATCCTGAGCCTGTTGATAGGTTACCCCGTGGGTCATGTCGCTAAGAACCGCTAATAGAATGGTGGGATCGGATACATGCACTCCACTCCAAGTTCAAGGAAATATATAAACTCCTCAAATTTCAGCTCCGGATCCCCTTCCGTGAGCGATGAACACAAGCATTGCAACGGACATGCCGTTCCATCTGTGCCCGGTTTGTGCCGTTCTGGGTGTCTTCGCCGCTCCGGACTCCACCCGGCCTCCATGCCCATGGAGAGGAGCCGGTCGAACATTGAAATGTCTAGGCCTGCCATGTCCAGTCGAGGTGGTCGAGGTGAGGAGACAGAAATGACATGCTCAGACTGAGAAAGAGACACCCTCTCCAAGTGCCCAAAAAAACCAAGAGCTCAATCTGACATGTAGGAAAAGGCGTCATCTTACACCTGACTGGAGAAGGCTTTTTGGTCTATTCCACATACAACTTCAAGATAAGCTAAGTCAAGAATGCTGCCACAGGTGTTCGAAGCAATGAAACGCACAATCAAGACATGAACCCCAATAGCTCTGGCCCCATTGTCTAGCAGCATCCTGCTCCCCGTGGTCGCGCCTCCTTTCTGCGCCTCCTGGCGTCTTTGCGGTTGGCCCCGAGTGGGCGAGCCTTTAACGCTTAGAACAAAAGGGTAGTGTCAAAACAGGCCAAGCAACCACAAAATAATATAATATCCCCCTTAATGAAGGACAGGAGAGTGATAAAACCTGGCATGTGTCTTTTGTCGGGCCCACTTTAACATCCTTAATCATAGGGCGGCTGCAATGCATTCATCCTTGTATATAGCACGGCCAGCACCATGAGTGGAGACAGCACTGTTAGTTATTAGTCATTGGGCCCACTCCTGCCCAAATGGACTGGACCTCTCCAACCCCAATGACCCCTGCTGACCCTCCTCTCTCTCCCTTCCTGCTCTATCCCTCTTCCCTAGCCCCCGTCCTCCAAAGAAAACAAGTGCCCCAACAATCCCAGAAAATGGAAGGCAAACGCTGCTGATGACAAGAACGCTTCCCGAACTGCACAAAGAACAAAACACACACAAAAAAACAGATAGATAGATAGATAGATAGATAGACAAATAGTTTAGATAAATATATATATATATATTATATGTAGAGGACTTGTATGTATATATATATATATAAGTGACTCCTTGGGTTGTACCAACGCCCTTCCCTCCTGTGAGAGCACGGTGGCCGGCAACTGACACTGGTCGCCAACCTCGCAACATCACCAGCACACGACGTTTCTCAACGCCCGGCCAGAAGGCCCGGGTGGGCCTCGCGTGGAAGAATTGAACAAACAAATGGTTGACCTGTCGTAACGTCCTTAGTAAAACAGTGCCTTGTGGTGCTTTCAATGTGTGTAACATCCTTAGTAAAACAGTGCCTTGTGGCGCTTTCAATGTG